CAATTATGCTGAGTCAGGCTTGATTTTTAGTAATCTTTTCCTGTTGAATCAATAAATCAAATCAATCAAATCAAATGTGTAAATCTAAGTGTAAAAGTTAAACCTTAAATGTTGTGGCTAAATGATAAAGTTTGTATTTATTTTGGAATGTGTTATGGCAATATTTATTTAACAAAGACAGAAATACGTGGTCCAACAATGAAGGTAGTCCGTGGAACGATCAGCTGAGTTTTATTGCAACAACAGGAAACACAGAGAACAACATGCCCTGTCTCTGTACCTCTGCTTCCCTCTGTCACTCCCTGTCACTACTGTGTCACTCACTCCAGGGAGGAGCTATGTACTATAGGCGGTGCTTTGTACCAGTAATGCTGGGTTCACACCGAACGCGTTTTGAGCAGCAGGAGGAGAGGCCGGTTTACATGCAAAGTTTGAGCATTTGACGTTCATGTGGCGCGTCCAAAGCAGCCGATGCTCGAGTTCAAAAATCTGAACTTCTGCTGGTTGACATGCCACATCAACCAATCAGAGAGAATCTTTTTTCCACGTGACGGTTTCCTGAATGTTGCCCACTAACCTGAAACAGACGGGCAGGAGTTCTTTAGCTGAAATCGACCTACTGTTGGTGTTCTGGCAGGAGATATCAGCACCGATGTGGGTCAGCAGCTTGTCCAACTGACCGCGGTGTTAATGGGCTCGGGACAAAAATAGTTTGCCAGCTCGCAGCTCCTGGTGAAACTCACAGAACCGACCGCCTCTAAATTATCTGGTGAATTAATTATCTGGTGAGCGCAATGTTCGCTTACTTCCAGTATGTAAAGCAAAGCCATTTTCTTTATTTCATTTTTATTTCATCCACCATTAAGACAGACCAGGAAAAAAAATAAAAGATGCTCTTCCCAAAAAAACCATCTACAGTCTTGGTCCCGGTCAGATACTTAGCGCGTCCAAGTTGAGGCATTGGGTGTGTTTTAGATGCCCAAAACGTGTTTGGTGTGAATGTAGACAGCGCCGGCAACAACGAGAGATTCAAGGATTTCTCAAACATGCATGAATGTGTCAAAGCAACACCCTGRGTATATCACTTCACCTTGATTCTTCCAGAAATTAGCTTTCTCCTCAACACCCAACCCATGGAGCAAAACCAGATTCAACATTTGACCTTCTATTTCTAGATTAAATGAACTCACCAGTGCAGATGGCATATTAGCTTTCTTTTAAATTATTATGATGAATGTTTATGATGTGTGATATGTTTTTTGGAAGGTATTTGACGGATAGGCTAAATAAAATTTCCATTTTTATGGAGAATAAAGTTTTTTTATCTTATCTTCTAAATTATGTCTTTATTACTTTTATATTTGAAACATTTTCGGGAGTATAAAGTCCCTTTAAAAAAACTGTAGGTCATTGTGCCAATGATGGTTTGATTTTTATTAATTTTTAATCGCAAAATAACAAGTCTGTTTTTAAAATTCCAATTTTATTCTATATTATTCAGATTTTATTCAACATTTGATTATTATCTTTATACTCGGAAACAAACCGGCCTTCATCCTATTTGTTTTTTTCTCTCTCTCAATGAGTTACAGAAAGTATGTAATGATATATGTTAAATTGGCTCGCCATACACATTCAAAATCATKCTTCACATGGTCGCGCGCAGCGATCTCGTACCTTCCAAGTGCTCCCTCCTCTCGACGCTCCACCAACTTGTCACCAAAGATGGCGATTTGCTGAGTGCTCATGGCTACACACACTTTTCGGCTAGCTGTTATCTTAYCCAAAACGCCAACTTTAAGAACAAATTAACTGCATAGCAAGTAACTAATTCTCTATTAGAAGCACCTCTGACGGGACGTCAGCCTTTGCTACCATGCAGATCACGCTTAAAACGCTGCAGCAGCAGACTATTCAGATTGAGATAGACCCCGAACAAACGGTGAGCGGTGTGCTAACATGCTAAGACTGCTAGCTGCGGCACTTGTGTTTTATTTTCACGTATAGACTGTTTAGCTTTTCGGTGTACATGCACTCAGATATAGTGTTGGCTAAATTTGATTTATTTCGAAAATCATCAACYATTGCGGAGTTACTTTTAACAACGCGACACCTTATTGTTCCGAGCTAACGTTAGCAAGCTAATGTTGCTAATGCTAGCCCATTAACTACTAAAAGCGACGCGACCGTAAGACAGTTTCTTGGAATGAAAAGTTTTTGCCGTGGCTGCTTCGGAGTTCTAACTCTCAATTTACATCTGACTCGTTAAAATTAATATAATCCAGGATAAACGGGAAGCATTGACAGGAATGATAGGAATGCTAATGCTCATGACACTGCTATTTGCAAATTAGCTTTAGCCTTAGTTTGTCAACATGCCCTCGTCATGTGAGGAGATAGCTGTAGTTTGTGTTACGCTTGTTCGTCACTACTCATAGATAACTTAAACTAACTGTATTGTTTACAATATACAATTAACTATTATAATAAAAGGGTCATCTGATGCCTGTCTGTAATGTATTAAATAWGTGTGTATAATTATTTTTATAAATTCGACTATAGATTTGAATTGTATGTGTTTATAAAGAGAAGGAATGGCTGCCTTTTCACACGCTGCACAGATATTTACTCGTAGAGATAAAAGTTTTTGGAGGCCATTCAAGAGTTCCTTTCCTTCTGCACCAATAAGATGCACTCTCTTATTTATTTTTTAAATTTTTATCAGGTCAAGGCCTTGAAAGAGAAGATAGAAGCTGAACGTGGAAAAGACAAYTTTCCTGTTTCTGGGCAGAAATTGATATATGCTGGCAAAATCTTGCAAGATGACACGCCAATTAAAGACTACAAAATTGACGAGAAGAATTTTGTTGTAGTGATGGTGTCTAAGGTGAGACTATCTATTGTGTTGTGCTCACATAAGCAAGTAGTTTTCATGCACCATAGCAGCTTCAGAGCCATACATCAGGATGCTGTTGGTCTAACTTTTTTTTTTAAATAAAAAAAGGCTAAGCCTGCAGCTGCTGCTTCACCACCAGTCTCAGAAGCCCCCAAGCCCCCTGTACAGGACTCTGGCTCCACATCAACACCTGCTCCGGCTTCAAACCCCGCTCCTGCCCCCACCCCAGCACCTGCCCCTGCCCCAGTTTCTTCTGAGGAGGGCAAACAGGAGCCAACCCCTGCAGAGACAGAACCACAACAACCAGCCAGGTACAGCTTTTTGTATTTCAGCCCTCCTGCTGCCTGATAGCCTCAGTTTTGAAACTGAGGTCTCATGGGTCATTTTMACCCAAGGATCGTAGGAGGATTAGAAGTTTTAAAAACAAGGCAACCTGATGGCTTTCTCTGTTGGTTGAAGACATTTTGCTACTTTTCTGAGGAGACTTACATTCATATGAAAAGTATCAAGTTCTAAGCTTTTAAAATGAAATGTCAATGTAAGGACCAACCTTTGGGAAAAAATAGTTAATTAAATTTAAAACCAGGTTGAGTGAATTTTATTTTTTCGAAACAATCATTTGTAACTTCCTACTTAGAGACCAGTTTGTTTAATTTATTTAACATGTAACAAGTATCGTGGCTTAAAAGGCCTTTATGGACAGATTCCGATTAAGTAATGGACTCAAATTGCCTGGCCCAGCAGCCTGGCTAACCCTGTGAACTTTTTACAAAAAAAGTGATGCACATCAAAAAGTAGATTTGGAAGTTTTATACTCAATAATAATAAAAAGAAAAATTAAAAACTGTAAACTTTGAAAAAGTTTGATTGTTGTGTAAAAAAYCCCAAGCAGAATGCAGTGATTTGCAAATCTCATAAACCCATATTTTATACACAGTATGAAATAGTAAGCACATTGGAGGGAAATGTTGTCCCATGGTAGGCTTTAGCTGTTCAGCAGTCCTGGGTCTTTGTGGAATTTTTTTAATTCATCATGCACTAAATGTTTTCAGTGTTGAGGGGTCTGGACTGCAGTCAAGGCAGTTCAGCACCCAGACACTTACAAAGCCAAGCTGCTGTAATGAATGCAGTATGTGATTTAGCAATGTCTTGCTGAAATATGCAAAGCCTTCCCTTTGAAATACAGAGAATATGGGATCTGTGGTTCCTAAAAATAATTTAATTTAAGATTTGTCTGACCACAGAATAGTTTTCCACCTTGCCGCAGTCCATTTTAAATTAACTTTGATCTAGAGAATACTGGGGCATCACCGGGTGGAGTTCACAGCTGCGTCTTTGCATGATAGAGCTTTAACTAGCATTTGTGGRTTTCACAGTGAACTGTGTTTGCAGGCAATGATTTGTGAAAGTGTTCTTGACYCCATGCAGCGACGTCCCAAAGCAGAACCGGATCTGTTTTTAATTCAAAGCTTTTCTGGAGGCCTGAAGATCAGGGGCATCCAATATTGATTTTAAGCCTTATCCTTTGTGCGCACAGATTTTTTTTTCTAATTTCAAAATCTTTTGATGATATGAACTGTAGATGACAAATCAGAGTCTTTCCAATTGCCTACTGAAGAACATCATTCCACAGTCTTTAGACGTTTTCACAGTTTCAAACCTCTGCCTATCCTTAGTTCTGAGAAAATCAACCACTAGACACTCAAAGCTTCTTTACARTTTCTATACATCATTCATTCATACACACATGCACACACTGATGATGGTAAGCTACWTTGTAGCCACAGCTGCAGACTTTTCTCACTGGCCCCACTGACCACCAACAGCAGACTAGACTGGTGAAGGGTCTTACCCAAGATGGATGACGGATGGAACAGGATCGAACTGACAACACCGGTTATAGGACGACTCCCCTAACCACTGTACCACAGCTGCCCTATATTTATACCCAGTTCTTCTACTGACCTGTTGCCAAATAACCTAATTATTTGATAAATTCTCCCTGAGCTGTTTCTTATTCATACCACCTACTATTATGGCCTGTTGTTGCCTGTGAAATCTTTTTCAGGTGTGTTGCCATCAAAGTCAAAATTATCTTTTATTTTATTTTTTTTTTGAAGGAAGTATGGTTTCATAGTTTAAACATTTGGAATCTTTACTATAGTAAATAAAAAATACAGGTTTATGAGAGAGACAAATATATTGCTTTGTTTTGTTACAATTTTACACAATGTCAACATTTCCAGAATTAGAGTTGTAGATATACTCTGTGTAGATGAGTATTTTATGTGTTTTTATAATGATGAACTGTGTCACACTAAATTATAAATTATATTCACAATTTTCAAAATTTTACTAGGAAAAGGAAAACAAAACATGAAATTAGCCAATCTGTTTAAAAGAATGATGTCTAATATTTTGTATATTTTGGTAGCAATGTCTGATTTTAGAATACAAGTGTTTAAGTAAATTATCCACATTACAAACACAATGGTTACCTGTCATATAGTGGCCTTCAGCTAATGTTAACAAAATGAACATTTATCTATATCATGCTGCTAAAATAGCATGGTAAATCGTAAGTTGTTTGTGTAAAATGTTAAATATATTGTGTTCAGATACTGACTGCAGTGCCTTTTAACCCCAGTGAAATGCCTCCCCAGCTCTTTCCAGATTTATTATTATTGTTTTTTATTCTCTTTTTTTCCCACATTCTTGCTAAACTTCTTAAGCTGGATTTGTACTTTGGGAGAAATGAAAAGGTCTGCTTTTGCGAGTCATTAATTTTTGCATGGACATTTTCAGTCCAAAAGTGCACACCGTTACTGCAAACAATCATTTTTATCGCACAGACCTAGACAGTATACATGCTGTTTATCATTTGTAATGTGTCATGAAGAGACTGCCACTGTTTCCAACAAGTGAGGTACAATAACTAGRGAATGTAGGAAATCTGTCCCCATGTTGCCAGGCCGAGATGTCCCTGCGCAGTCTCCTCCATGCACAAAAGCTGTCATCTCAGTTCTCAAGCTTCTTGACACGACGGCTCAGTGGTTAGCACCGACGCCTCACAACAAGAAGGTCCTGGGTTCGATCCCCAGTTCGGATCTGGGGTCTTTCTGTGTGGAGTTTGCATGTTCTCCTCGTGCTTGCATGGGTTTTCTCCGGACACTCCAGTTTCCCCCACCCCCCAAAAACATGTACAATAGGTGGCTTTCAGGCCCAGGCCGCCCTTGAAAATGAGATCTCAGATCTCAATGGGACTTGCCTAGTTAAATAACGGTAAATAAAATAAAATAATAAAAAATATATAAGATCTATTAGACCATCTTTACAGATTTTGCTGGAATAATCGTAAACATGACTCTATTTTCTAACAGCCTCGGGCAGGCTGATCTTTAGTGGAGCAGCTGAAGTGAAGAATGAGCCGCTTTGCTGCATAAAACTGCCCACAACTAAGTTCTGACCAATCGTAATAGTTAACACAAAGGTGCTCAAAGTGGGGCCTGTGGGCCAAGATTGGCCCACCAAGCCATTTGATTTGGCCCACCAGCTGTGTTTCTGGTTACTAGATTGTAATTATGTTAAGATTAAATATAAAATACAAGTAACAAGAGACATTTAGATTTGATTAAAGCCCATATCTAGATTTGCACACCTTATAAGACCACATATACTCAAATTTTAAATTATGAAAAGTCCCATGAGACTTTGCTGCCTGAGCATGCATTGACTTTTCTCCATGTCCATGGGCCGGAAAAAAAAGAATGTAGGCAACCACACTGGCTGCTAGCTTAATCATAAAAAAATAAAACAACTTTAGTTAAGAAGTATTTGCATTTCTTATATTATTGCATTTGGCCCACGGCCCTCAGATTGATTTTAATTTTGGCCCTTTCAGGGGAAATGTTTGGGCACCACTGAGTTAACACATACCCCTGCAAGAAAAAGTTCCATCCAAACCTTGTGTAGAACTGACTGTCAGAACAAATGACAACATTTTCTTCTGACATACACATCAGCAAGAGCAGATTTCTGCATGAATACAGTAGAGTTCAGCTTTAGTTTTCATTGTAAGAGCAAATATTACCAGATTTGTGTTTTAAAACCGAAACACTGAAACCCTGCGTTGTGTGTTGCCCCCGCCAGTCAGAACTGGTTTCCTACGGATATGCCAGCATTACGTGATTGGTCAGAACTTCATGGACATGTTGGTTTATCAAWGTGGGTTCAGTATGCTCAGACAGCTTCTGCTGAGGATCAGCTGTCTGAGGCTGTTAGAAAATACAGCYATCRTTACAGGTGTTCTAGCCAAAGTGATAAAACCAATTAAATAAAACTTGGAGATCAAAAAACCAGTTGGAGAGTTTTTGTACACAGGAAACTCTGGCTGTGTTGATGGAGAGGGAGTGCACCTTCCACTGGCAGCTGTGGGGTCATGAGCAACAGGGAGCGCGCCTGGCCAGACAGCTTCACGCTTCAGCATCGTCTGTTGGGAACRGTGGTGGTCTCTTTCTGCTGAATGCACAAATTAGAGCTTGTTCTCAGTTATTAACAAAAATATCAGATCTTCCTCCTCCAACTCTTCCATTAACTGAAAATAAACATCCACTGTGCCACTTGCACTGTTGATTTTGTTTGTGCGTGACGTGTCACCTGCAGTTTCTCTTGTATGAATGAAATGCCCATGCGAACAAGACTGTCTCAAATCATGTCTTAGGTCTGACGTCTTACCTCCAACTGAAGTATAACCAAACAACTTGTTTCCTTATTTTACGTAAAATATTGGTTAATGTTTAAAATAGCAGGGATTAAAGGTAAATCATAACAAATTTGCAGGCGAGGAACCAGATTTCAACTAGAGAACACAACTTGACACAACACGGCTTATCCACAGCGTAAAATCATGAAACATGTGCCCAGTGTCCAGTCCAGGTCCTCGGGGGTCACTACTACAGCATGTTTAAGAGGTTTCTCTGCTCCAGCACATTTAATTTGAATGGATGGGTGATAACAGGCTTCTGCAGAACTTGAAGAGGTAATTCAATCACTGAATCAGGTGTGTCGGAGCAGGAAAACAAGGAAAACATGCAGGATAACGGCCTTTTAGGAGAAGGATTTGAAACCCCTGTTTTAGTAGAACTGTTCTCTCAAACATTTATTCAGTGGAAATTTAACAATCTGTCTGGTCCCACAGAGTGTATTTAGCATCTTAAAATACTCAAGGTCATTTTGTTTTTCCTTCTGTTGTCTCATACCTCCTTGGTACATCTGCTTCTGCTCTTTAGCTTGAAAAAAAAAGGCAAGTAAAGCGTGCTAACTATAGCTTTATTTTCAGCTAGCTTAAATTTTATTTATCTTTCACTCCATGTGGCCAGCTGATTTTTGAGCTAGTCAAACTTTCATGTTCAGTTATTGGCTGCTGTTTGTAGCTCTGATCAGAAAAATCCAAACAGATTTTTTTTTATTTCATATCTGAAGACCAAAAAACTTGTGGAGCCAAATTTTTCAATTGACTTTTTAATTATTTTACTGGAAAAATACCCACTGTTGATATGGTTTGGATCATCTGTTTTTTGTTTTTCTTTCTTCACATCTATGTTTTGTAGCTCCAGTGGTGGGAGTCAGGGTCTGGATGCCTCCTCAGCACTGGGTAAGTAAAAGTACTTTACCAGCCAAGTAGCTGCTGGCATTCATCTCAAATGATTATTATTAGAAATTAAATTTCTATTTGTTTCCTCAACAGTTTCATGCAGTTAATATTGTTTTGACATTCACAGTAGCAGTTATTTTTAGGAAAGCACAGTCTGCAGTTGTTGCTGCTGTCAGTCAGGGACTTTACAAGCTGCAGTTTGTTACTTTTCGTTTCTATGTTTAGGCTCTGACAAAAGCGAGCCTTACCTTGTTGTGGTGTCACACAGGGTGACGGGGATTCCCGTTTGGTCTCCTCATAGTTTATAACCGGATACATGTCGTGCTGTTACGTAAAACCAGCTTGGCTTAGATATTCTGTACTGAAACTTTCTCTAGTTCTAGCAATATAAATATTCAAAGAATTGTACAAACTAATTTTGTGCATAATATATCTATAAAAATCTGTCACCTTTCAGTGCATACACGACACCTGATTGGAAAGTTAAAATCTTTGATTAAATTTGATTCAAATGTTTTAAGGTTCAGTGCCCACCACAGGCCAAGCACAATCATCAATCAAAATAAACCACAAAAAGAGTCAATAATATAAACTTATTTTTCCTGTGTTTTTTAAAGAGGTGCTTACTTCAGAAAAAAATGTTTGAGGCTAAGAAAAAGTTTCATTTCATTCAGTCGGTGTTTGCATCATCATGTAGCTGCAGTTGTCCACAGACTTTGTAAGTCTGTTTTGTAAGTAAACATAGCAAACCTTTACAGTTTGAGCTTTCATGTCTTCTTATTCTTCATTAGTGTATTTTTGTAATCATAGCTTCTCTAAAAACTTATTTTCTGTCATCTTATTGGGACTAGGACTGGAGAAGATATCTGGCTGTGTTCAGTTAACCAGTCACAACAGAACTTCATCAGGTCTCTGTTTATGAAGAGATGAAGCAGTGTTCAGATATCTGAACCTCAGTCTGAGGAACAACACACGTCTGCTTGTTCAAGAAACATTGTGTTGCCTCTCAAAACAGACCTACAAACATGGCCCAGATGCTTAGAGAACAGCTCTCTKTTTAGTTTAGGTTTACTGATAAGTATTTTAGATCAGGCTGGTGTTTGAATGCATTAAACTCTGTTGTTAAAAGAAATCATATTTTGACCTTTTTAAAGAAGTATTTTGATCAATGTGAAGTGGGCTTCAGAACAAGTAATAACTTACATGTTGTAGCTATCTTTTCAAATCACCTACAACAGGTAAGATATTATTTGCTCATTACTTTTCTACAAAACCTACCATCAGAAGAGTCAAAAATACTTCTTAAAGTTGTCAAAAATGGGGAATAAATGTTTGGTATAGACGTTTTAAGAATAGATTTCTTTAAATCAGGAGTACATCAAGATCATAATTTTATATTTTTATAATCAGAAAAAAACATCTGAATTTAGGGGGGGACGCTCTGCATCCATCAAAATTGAGATTTTTTAAACTTTTTTTCGAAGGGCCAATATTATGTGTTTCTCAGGCATATATTTAAATACTATACCATATTAAAGTATCTATGTCACCTTTAGTTGTTATTAAAATGCTGTTTTTATGTTTAAATAGAAAATAAACTTATCTTC